ATCATGATGATAGTATAGAAGATCAAGTCATTGATAAATCATTTAAGGAGACTTGCAAACTATGGTACAAGGAATTTAATGAACTTTATACCAATAAAATTGAACCTTCTGATTATTTATTCAGTAAGACACAAAAAGTTTTTGGAATTTTAGCATTTCCTTTTGGTCTTTATATGCTTTTTGAAACTATAAAGGCTACTGAAGTCTATAAAAAATCAAAAGTTGGTGGATGTGCAATTAGTAATAATGCCGGAACAAGAAAAGTGGAACAATCTGGAAGTTTCTCCAAGAGTCATGGCAGCAGTAGTAATGATAATAATTTTATTTTTGTTGGTTGTGGGGGTGGTTGTGGTGGTTGTGGTGGTGGTAGTGCATGTGGTGGTGGTAGTACATGTGGTGATGGTGCATGTGGTGGATGTGGTGGTGGTGGAAATGACGGTGGTGGTAATACATATGGTGGTGGTGGTAATACATATGGTGGTGGTGGTAATACATATGGTGGTGGTGGTACTACATATGGTGGTGATGGTGGTGATGATGGTGATGGTGGATGCAGTGGTGGTGGTGATGATGATGGTGGTGGTTGTGGTGGTGATGATGGTGGTGGTTGTAGTGGTTGTGGTGGATGTGGTGGATGTGGTGATTAAATACAATAGTTATGTTGTTTTATTAAATACTCATTAAAGTATGACATGCTCTTCTTTTTATATAATTGTGTCTCTGTTATTATTCTATTGAAGTTCTGATTTGGCATTGTTAATTAATTGGTTAAAAAATGTGTTGGGTATGTACACCAAGAGTTGTGTTATATTGATATCACTGCATCTTTAAAGTATTTTTAAAAAAGTGTTTGATTAATTTTTTATACATTTTCAACATCATTCATGTTTCCCATAAAAATTATTTAGTTTACTCAGTTGAGATTGAATAATTCCAACTGTTCAAAATCATAATCATATGGTGCAAATAATTTAAAGACTTCCTGCAATTTGTGCAATCATTAAAAGAATACAATTCAGTGTATATGTAATGCTTTGAAACTTTAACTCTATTCATTGAATGTATTCATATGGTGCGGCCTATACATGAAGTTGAAATTAAAACCCCAAAGTTGAAATGTTTCAACTTGAGGCAACTACATAGTAAAAATCAGTTTTGACCTTGTTTCAATCCTATTTCAAATAAGGATACCGGCTGCAACTTTTGATGATGGTTGCTATCATCTTTGCGTCATATAAAAACGATTGCAACCACCTTTACAATCATTTTGTTTCCTTTTTTGGATTGCGACATGGAACACTAATTTCAACCAGATCTGCAAATGGTCGAAATAGTTTTGACTTCATGTATAGTGCAGCCAGGCTAAAGATAATAATTACTGTGGCAAAGCCTGAAAAATTTACTTCTTGAATGGTCAAGCAATAAATTTCGGATTTTTTAATGCATTGAAGCTCTATTTGGAGCAGTTTGGAAGTTTGGAAGTCATGGACTTTATCCGGCCAATAAAATTCCAAGAATAAAATAAAATGTTTTTTGACATTTTTTTTTAATCAAGATGGAAATTTTTTATTAAAGATATTTACCATTAGTTGCTGATTCCATAAAAGTCTTTTTTCACTAGTGTTCCATGTCGCAATCCAAAAAAGGAAACCAAAGTGATCGCAAAGTGGCTGCAACCAGGTGTCGCAAACCATTTTTATATGTCGCAAATATGGTTGCAACCATCACCAAGAATTGCGACCAGCATCTATATTTTTCACCCATGAATTTTACTATATAATTTTTTGGGAAGCATGAAAAGGTGAAAATATATATTATCATAATTGGTAATTTTTAAGATGAACAAATCAAAAATTTAGTCTTATTAAATTGGTTTTAAGCAAAATAGAGCCAGATGTAAATATTGTGACTATGAGTTAAATGATGCTGTTGGAAGATGTGAATTGCATTTAAAGAAATGTAGCTCTGTACCAGTATCTGTTCTACAATCACTGTTTGGCTGAACATAGCATCATCATTAGCATCTACAATTACAATTCACAAAATTACCCAATAAACAATTTTGTTGATAGAATTTCTAAAAAGAATTAAAATTATTATTTGCTAAATCAGTTTACAGTCTACACTCTCTATAACGACACTCTTTATAATGACCACTAAGTAAAATTTCTCTATAACGAACTTCCCTTTTGTCCCCATTTCAATTTTTTATAATTAATTTCTCTCTCTATAACGACCAAAAGCAGAGAAATTACATATAGGGACAGAGGATTCGTTATAGAGAGAGTGAACTGTATCAATATGGTTTATTTCTTTTGCTTTGTGGCAAAAATCCCATCCCGCATTCAATTTGCCTGGAGGGAAAAAATTTTCAAATGAATTGAAACAAGAGAATAGATTGAAAAAGTGCTGAATATTTAGGCTTGGTTTCAGACGGTTGGTAGGTAGCCAACATTTTTATATGTGCATTCATATATATTTTTTAAAAAATTTGGGTTTGATGCATGATAATAAAATAATAAGAGTAGTTTTTGTATTGTAATTTAAATTTATTTTGTAATTCAATATTTATGATGATCAGAATAATGGTAGTTATGATGACAGTGAAAATGATATTGATGATGAAAACATTGGCATAGAAAGTGGTGAAGAAAGTGGTGATAATGATAATGAAAGTGATAATACTGAAGATGATAAACAGTAATTCTAAAAAATTTTTGGATAAAATCCAATTTTTTCGTTAAATAATAAAACCAGTTTATTTTTGGCAATTTAATAAAACCGGTTTGATATTAAGAAAATTGAACGACTCAATATAGTGTAATTCTTGCAGATTAACACCATATTGATGACCATATATATCAGCCAGCCAAGGAATTTATTTTACACGGCTTAGCTGAGTAATTAGATTAAAACCGGATTTGTTTGGTTAATCAGGTTTATTTTAAGAAACGGTGAACATTTCAATTTGTTTCCACCTAAAGATCTTTAATTTTGTTTTAGTATATATTAAAATAATTTTTAAATTGATTGACCCAAGTTTTGTATGTTTATTTACGATTTCATGTTATTATTAATATTACGTTTATTTGTTGTAAAGTCAACCTCGTTTCAACGAATATAGAAAATTGCAGGCAAAAATTTTAAAAATTCGTTGTAACGCGAATTTAATTACAATTCGTTGAGACAATTATTATATTATGTAGCAATGGCGCCATGAGAATGCAGATAAGTGGTGTACATGTTTACATTTAAATATTTGCATATAATTATAACTTTTTAGAAAATAATAACAAGTTTGGACCTCATTTCATTTATTTCATTAAATTACTCAAACTTTACGAATTGGATTATCAGCTTACCATTTGCAAACTAGTTTCACGGTTTTATACCCAAGCTTCCGGTTAAAACCGGTTTATTTAAGTTCGATTTAAACAGGTCCTGGTTTTGAAAGATGATTAAAACCGGTTCTTTTGAAAATAAAACCGGTTCCAACATCCGTATAAAATGTGCATCATTCGCACGAAGTTTTAAATTTTTCCCATCTCTAGCTAGCAATGGAATCTGGATCCGGAAAAAAGAAAAAGAAAGAAGATTTTGATTCAACTCAAGAAGCTCAAACTGAAACATCTGTTCCATCACAACTTCCATCAAAAGATACACTTGTTGAATATTCCAATACTTGTAGAGACACATCTGAAGAGAATCAAAATAGTATTACTTCTGATGAAGATACACTTGATCCATTAAAGCTTTTTTCTCATTTAGTCTTGTTGAATCAATTCAAAAAACTTGAATTAGAAGATGAAGAGATTGATACTAGATATTTGCTTCGTGCAATCAATCGTTACATTTTATGGTTGAGGATGTTGAATGAACAAGAGGAACTCAAGAAAGAAAATTTGCCAATTCCACCAATTGATGTCTGTTATATTTGGCACTCTCACTGCTTGTCACCAATCAATTATTATGAAGATACTTATAGACTGCATAATATAAATTTTAGTTACTATTATATTCCTTTAGAAAAAATGGTAACTATTTGACTTTCTTTTTGCTGGTGAAAAAAAATTAATTAATTGATTGATTAAATTGATTAATTAAATTATTAGCTTAATGTCTGGTTGACAAATGATAATTATGAACACATTGACCAACAATCCAAGGTTTTATGGGAAAACTATACAAAAATGCCATGGATTCTTGATCCTAATGATGATTCTGATTTTATTCTTGTGTGTCCTTGGTGTAATGATTCAAATTTTGTCAAATGGTAATTAATTTTAAACAATAATCGTAATAAATTTAATAATAATAATAAATAACTTCCAAGTATATCTAACTGCAACAATTTAATATTAATAGGGACAAATATATTGATTTAATAAAAAAACCAAATGATGAATCTTCATCAATTGTGTGTGATAAATGTAAAGTTGCTTTAACTCCAGACAATTTATCAGCTAAAAGATTTCTGGATGACATCAATGATTGTATTAGCCACACAGAAAATAAATATATCAGGTATAAAAATAAATTAAACATTGTCAATATTAATTAAAGATTATTAATTATCTACATATCTATCTATCTATAGTGGAACATTGTTTAATCATAGAACTGGTATAATTGATGCAGAAGCTGCAAGTCATGACATTGATTTGCTTTTTTCATCAGCTGTTATGCATAAAGTTCCTAAATTAAAAGAACTTTTGGAATCATCAAAAGACAATTCTTTAAATTGTAATTGGGAAAATATTGGCAAATATTTATCAGAAACAGTCACCTATCTAAAGCAAGTGAGGCAACTCAGATTATTAAAAAATACCATAGTTAAAAAAGTCATTGTATCTTACAAAGATAATATCTTTCCATTTGCCTTCAGCTTGTTGGATGCAGTCAACAGACAAAGAAAGTTCACTCAGAAAATGGTGGTTGATAACCACTCTTGGATTTGTAATTATCAAATACAAAATAATGCTATTAGAAGATATGAATGTTTCATGAAATTAATTGGTAAGAATCCATATAAATGTATTGTACCAACATTAGATATTGATTTAGCATGGCATACACACATGCTGAATCCAAAATTTTATAAAAAATATACAATGGAAAAAACCAAAAGATTTATTAATCATGATGATAGTATAGAAGATCAAGTCATTGATAAATCGTTTAAGAAGACCTGCAAGCTATGGTACAAGGAATTTAATGAACTTTATACCAATACAATTGAACCTTCTGATTATTTATTCAGTAAGACACAAAAAGTTTTTGGAACTTTAGCATTTCCTTTTGGTTTTTATATGCTTTCTGAAACTGTAAAGGCTAATGAAGCCTATAAAAAATCAAAAGTTGGTGGATGTGCAATTAGCAATAATACTGGAACAAGAAAAGTGAAACAATCTGGAAGTCTCTCCAAGAGTCATGGCAGCAGTAGTAATGATAATAATTTTATTTTTGTTGGTTGTGGAGGTGGTGGTGGTGGTGGTTGTGGTGGTGGTAGCGCATGCGGTGGTGGTGGTGGTAGTGCATGTGGCGGTGGTGCATGTGGTGGTTGTGGTGGTGGTGGAAATGGCGGTGGTGGAAACGGCGGTGGCGGAAACGGTGGTGGCGGAAACGGCGGTGGTGGAAATGGCGGTGGTGGAAATGGCGGTTAAATATAATGCTAATATATTTTATTTATTAAATGCTCACGCGCACTTAAGTCATTAAAGTATGATATACTCTTCTTTTAATTTGGTGTGTCTTCACTTATTATTTCTATTGAAACTAAATTTGATGGCATTGTTAAATTAATTGGTTAACAAATATTATACACAAGACTTGAATGTGATTAATATAAACATTCATTGGTATTGGGTATAGGCCCGGGTTTTGTAATGTTTAGTGCACCCTTGGTGTATCCTATCCGACTTGATTTAATAATATTCTCGTAGGGGTTTTAAAAGTGTTTAATTATTTTTTATAATTCATCTAATAAAATATTTTCAGTACCAATGTCCTAAATTTTTGATGGTTGAAGATCTCTTGATCCAAGAATAATAAAAGAACTTTATGACCAGATGGTGAGGTTATATAATGAGAAAAGGGATATATCGCTAACGCTCGCATCATGATAGAATACAAAGCGAAAGAGATTTTATTCATTGTAAACAAATAAGTGTAAAAGATACAGGCTTTGTCGATGTATGCTCCGGGTCCAAAAAAAAAAAATACAAAAATTGTTATACGAAAATCTTGTTTGGCTTTGCTATATACTTGACATGGTAAAAAACGATAATGGTTGTAGAAAAAAATTCAACCTAAAACCGCAAGATAAATGTTGACCTGGCCATACTCATTGATTTGCTCTAAAATCCCACAACGAGAAATACACCAGTGAAATGCGTGGATGTTGTGGACTTCAAAGGCTTTTAAATGTGCAGTAATTTATCATTGATGGAATGTAAATGGAGCCCGTAAAATACTTTTAAAGTACTAGTACATTAATTGTTTCATTGTCACAATCACTCTTATCACTTCGCCTCCCACATTTTCATCATCATTTAATTTGTATTAAAATAAATAAAATACACGCCAATTTAAAATAATCAGGTGTCACTTTTATAGAAAAAAGTGGAATTTTTAAAACCGATCATTCGGTCATACATTAGCATGCAGAATACTTGATCACGCACGCATACATAGAAATTTCCTTTTATAATAAGTCTGCATATGACATAAATATTTGTGTATTTATTATAAATAGTTATTTGGAAAGATAATTAATTGATTTTTTTTTTAATTAATCATGGAATCTGAAAAAAATAAAAAAGATTTTAATCCAACTCAAGAAGCTCAAACTGAAACATCAGTTCCACCACCACTTCCATCAAAAGATATACTTGTTGAATATTCCAATACTTGTAAAGATGCATCTTCGGAATATCAAAACTCTATTACTTCTGATGAAGATACACTTGATCCATTAAAACTTTTTTCTCATTTAGTCTTGTTGAATCAATTCAAGAAACTTGAAAT